CAGCTTCATTTTCACCCTTGATTGGAGTGTCTTTTGCTATGAGATTCACGTAAGAACCAGAATTCAGAGAATCAGAAAACCAGATGAAAGATTTTTTAAAGAATCTTCCATAAAAACCAACGGAATATTTTTATCTCTTTACTCCTCCTCTGGTTTGAACTTTTAATGTGTCGTGTTTTGTTGTGGGCGTTCAAGTATAGTTTGGCAATTGAGATCAGAGATGGTATGAGGATCTTTGAACCCAAGATATTTCCTATTTCTTTATTTTCAGCCATTGACTGTAACGACGCATGTCATCATTTTGGGAAATGCACTTTTCAAGAGAATATGTTCGATCCTATATTCATAGCAGCTAATATGAGATATCACTACATGTATTTTGTTATAACCACACCTATGGGGATTCTAACTGAGAGAATATTTGCAACGATTCTCGTAAAGTAAGACAAAAAAGAAGAAGACCTGTATTAAGGAAGTGATTCCAGAGATTACGAGAAAAAGAGTCGTCGTTGGATTTTCTGTTTGATATTTTTGGCTCAGAACTTGTTTGCTTGCACGATGTCAGTGGTCACAACAACGAAAGGAATCACTTTTCAAGTTCTTATTTCCGCTGTTATTATATCCTTGTTCTCTTCTGGAGTGGTATTTTAAGTTTAACTGATTCTTTTGCCAATATTTATTTCAGATCTATGCACTGGTGGAGTACTTCAACCAGCAACGTCTTTTGTTATTAGAAAGAGAACATCGAACTACAAACTACACGTTGAGTATTCGTTACCAACTGAAAGAGAATCTGAAAACTTTAAAAGTAACTAATTATAAGGCTCAATATATTACAATTAACATTTTCTAGCTCATGCGCCGTTTCTTCATTTCAATCATCGCTATTATTATTGCTATGGGCCTTGCCAATTCACTTCCAGTGATCCTGAATTTGGAAGAAGACGTAATAATGACTATTCGAGTCTACATGGATTATATCTTTCACTCGTAAGAAATTTTTTCGAAGTCAACGTATAATTTTCATTTCCAGCAACCCAGTTTTCCTTGTACCAACGGCTATCTTTACAATTGAAAGTTATCGAAAGTTTGCGTTCAACAAAGCCCGAACTACATTTGGAATGAGAGTGGAGAGCCATAAAGTGTGCTCATGATTTGTTTCTTATTCTATGTAGATGATTCCAGGTGGACATCCGCAAACTTCGGCCAGAAGTGGAAAGAGAGACCGACACGTACTTCGCTATCTTCGAAAGGCAGCTTGAAGGTGACGGTGCTTGTCGCGGAAAAATGAGAAGCGGATCTGTGAGAAAGCCAAAAATTAACACGAAATACTGAAACTTATAATTTTTTTGTTCCTGAATAAATGTTGTTCTTGATTTTTTAGTTTTTGTTCATTCAGTATGAAGTTGAAAAAGTAAAATATAACAGTAACAACGAAAACAAAAAAGTAACAAAAGATAGACATCAAGCAGTCTCCAGGAACTTATGCATCTCTGATTCTTTATGTGTACGAATCTTCTTAGCCCACTGCTTCGGTGTGTACTGCCACAGATTCTTCGGATCACGCGTCATCGCCTGGAAGTCTTCTCCGTGACGGGCCAACATATAGATGCAAAGTTCAGTTTCTCGATGGAACAGCTTGAACTTTCTGCCCTCATTCGCTCGTGCCTCTTCTTCGTCTTTCACCTGTTGCTCCAAATTCGAGATGACAAACTCGGCCTGTAATCAGAAATGCATTTTTCGGCAAATAAAACAATTTATAATGAAAAACTTGAACAGAAATTAGTTATGCTTACCTGTTTTTCGTTCTTCTTTCTTCCAGTGATCTTTTTCGCTGGCTTCGGAACTTCAATGCTTACTCCATCGATTGGGACGGCGTCAATAATATCTTTCTGAAAAATTCACTCCTATAGTGTTTTTAGTGATGAAATATCCAGTTTATAAGCTATTAATAAAATTTTCCGCTGTTTTAGCTATCAAATTCTTTTCAAAACTCACTCGTTGCTCTCTGATTGGAACTGCTTCGTTTGGATTGAAGGCAATTCCCATATCTCGAACGTTTTCTCTCGGCGTTTTCGTTTCGTCCCATTTGCTTTTTATAATTTTTCTGAAATAAATATGTCAGTGTAATTTAAAACTAAAAATTGTGTATTTTCTTACACTGCACTTTTCGACAACTTCTTTTTTTCTTGTTTTTTCTTCAAATTTTTCTGACGGTTTCGTCGGTTTGTGTATGAAGGCTTTCCGCGCTTCTTGACGTCACGAGCCATGATATCTGCAACAAATTTGAATTATATCAACACAAATGTAAGAAAAGGCAAGAAAAATACGAGGAAATGGGGTGAAAACGAAAAAAAAAAAACAAAATTGCGATGGAAGAGAAATATGGCAAAGTGTCGGTTCCTAGGCCACCGCTGTGGCCGAGATTTTCTGCATTAATTTTCTGCATTTTTTAACAAAAATATTACGTTTTCTGTTGACCAAAATTAAAATTTTCATTGAATGTTATATTTAAAAGAAGAAAGAAAAAAATCTTTAATGATTTTCAAAAAAATGTCAAGTAAAAATCGATATTTCGACACAGATTCTCGGCGGACTAACTTTTTCTCTGATTGACACTTTCTAGGAACTTCTCATTAAATCGACGTGTCTCTCATTTAATTTGTCTGAAATTTTCAGCAAACTATCCAAATACAAGCACGATATGTCGACGAAAAGAAAAAGTTCTAAACCGTCAGTTCTCCATGTTATTTTTTCCCATGAATCGTTAAGATTTCAGCGACTCGCCTCCCAAACGGCAAGTTTCTCCAAATAGCACACCAAACGCAGCTCTTGGAATATTTCTGGCCGTAAGAAAAACCGCTCAATCATTAAAAAAACCCTTCTCTAATTTCAGATTGCTCGTAAAATTCTTTTCATAGATGCTCGAAAAGTTGCTCTTTTCTACTTGGGATTTGTCACTTTTCTCTCGTTTCTTGAATCACGCATCGAGCTGGATTCTACCTACTACCTTGTTCAAAAGCACAGCATTCTGAATCAGTATGGCGTTAAAATGGGATGGTTCTGGACTTTAGTCATCGTCGGGCCGTTTATCTGGTATATTTTGAGAACCGTTTTACAATAAAATGTAACATTTGTAGGTTTACCTCGAAAGCTCATCATCGCCGCGACCAGGACCAACCTATCATCGATGTCTGTCGTTTAGGAGTCGGAACAGCTTGTTGGTACCTCTCCGTACAACTGTAAGTTTGCTCGTTTTGTCGCATTTTACGATCATACCTAACCTAGATTCCACAAAATTTATGCGGCCACATCGGTCTGTGACAAGGGACGGAGGTTGACGCGGGCACAGTGCTCCGAAAATGAAGGTGTTTGGACTCCAGGATACGATATCTCAGGCCATTGCTTCTTGATGATCTACAGTATTCTCATTATCACTGAAGAAGTAGGTCTTATAATTTTTCCAGGTTGAAAATCATTGTTTTCATAGGCTGTTGCTTTCCGTCACTATCAACAAGTCACTGATGCCGTGCCACAGATGGATGGAGATCGCGAAGAACACGATCGTCTCACTCGCTTGATTCAATACTTTTTCGTTGCCATGCTCTGTCTACATGCATTCTGGTTCAAGCAAATCATTATCTCTGTTCTTTACTATCATATTTTTATCGAAGAGGTTGTTTAAGCTCCATTGAAACGCGTGATTGTATTTATTTTTAGATTCTCGGAGCTGTGGTCGCCGTTGGTTGCTGGTTCGTGACCTATCGTATCATCTACAAATCCGGATTTTTGAGCTCCCCCATCAACCGGGCGGCAAGCAGAAGATAAGAATTTTGACATCTGTAGAACACATTTTCATAATTCTAGTCACCATGTTTTTTTCATTCGAAGTTCCATCTATTGCCTTTTTTTACTGGTTATTCTAAAAAATTTGTTTGTTAATTATTTACTAAATTCAATAAAAAGCTGAACGTCATTTTTATCAAAATCGTGATAAACCAAGAATTCGCCACTCAAAATGAAATGTATTACTGTAACTGTTTGGTAGCTTTTAGAGGCATAATGGCAAGTTAGGATGTGACATTTTTCTCCAGTAAACTTTATTCAGTTGTCTGTTCTAATTTACTAATTGGCTCCGAAAATGTAAGACGCGAAACACTCAATCTGGCGCGATATTTCTCTCATTCACTTTTCCATTTTTCCCCCCGAGTGCACAACAAAAATAAAGTGATTTGTTGTTGTTTCTCTGTGGTATATTAAAAAATATGGTAGAATTCGGACAGCTTTGGATGTGGAAAGAAAAGTTTGAAGCATTGGGAAATTATTGTTCTGGTACAAAAAATCAGAACTGTGGAAGAGAAACACCGGTGGACGTGGCCGAAGGTCCCAAAACGACAACTACCGTAACCCAAAATTGCTTCTGGAAAAAATAAAAGTTGAGATCCAAAAAAAAAGTTTCAAAAGACTATTTTATTCGAAAATGGTCCACTTTGGATGCCTGGAGTCCAGACTTTGAATAATTAGAATTTGTTCTTTTAGATTACGAATTTCAGGTACATCACTATATAAAAAATATAACTATATTTTTGTACTATTACTTGCCAAGAAGGCATTTTGTCTCTTCCGTTAGTTATTGTACAAAACGATGTAAAGTACAAAAGTAGCTCCTGATAGGGTTCTTATTCAGACACTCAAAAGTAAAAATTTTAATAGAAATTGGAATCCAAGACATTATTTATGGCTAATACTACCGTAAATGCTCTAATAGAAACCCACATATTACTTAAACTTTGAGCTGGTTTATCTCGGTTCCTTCAAAAGATATCAAAAACGTTTCAACAGGTACAATATTCATCATAGTATCACCAATATTTTATCAGTTGACTGATTTTCGACATCTCTCATAGGAACTGAGATAATTGAGCTCACAGTTGAAAGTTAGAAGGGTCATTCTATTAGAATGTTTACGGTATCTTACGGTATTAGAATTAAAAAAAAAAATTAAATTCCATGTCGATTTTCAATTTCTTATAAATGATGCTTCGTTATCTCATCTCCTGAAAAATTTATAAAAAATATCATGAACACAAAAATAACTTCTAAATGGTTTTCGAGTTTTCATAATTTTCAGATTTCTCAAAATAAAACGTTATATGGAAGGCTGCTACCAGCTTGGTTCTCACAAATAATATCGTACGCTTTTTCGAATTCCCTGTCATAAACCACGAGAAGAACGATTCGATGTTTTATTGCAGCGAATTCCCAAAATTTCAGCTTGTTCCCTCTTTTTTCCTTCTCCTCCTACACTGTTTTTTCCAACTTTCGTCCACTTCATTCGTTAGCTCCGCCCACCATTTCCTTGAAAAGGCATCTCTACCATTCCCTCTTTTGTTACTACCCCCTTCCATTCTTCCAACGACGTCTCCTGCCACCCTGCTGCCTTCTATTTTCCCATCCCATCACGGGATGAACATCCCAATACCATCAACTGATTCCACGTCATCGAGTTCTATAACGTCATCATCGACATGCTCTGCCAACTGTAAGTTTCGGTTCTTACTGTATCCTCAAATTGGTAATTTGATTCACACAATTATTTACAAATTCGATTTGCAAGCTCGAGTGCTTCTCCCACCGTAATTGAACATAATTTCATAAAGGGCCTCAGTTTTTTTTATTCATTTTCATGGCTGACTACTTCACGCTCGTTTTTTCTGAATTGTTCTCTAGTGTCATCCATCTGTTGCAACAGTCATAACTCAGACTCCCGAAACGATCTGAGGTTTTTTGAAGATTCCACTCTAGACAT